AACCAACTTCAATTTTCAATCTTCATTTCAAGAAGATAGAAACCTATAGACCACACAATGGTCAAATTTAAATTTTTTCTATTAGTTAAATAAATTTGATTAACTCTTACAATTGTATTAATATGATAAGGCATTTTAAAAGTTACAAAAAATAAAATAATATATATATAAAAAAATTACTTTAATTTATAAATATCTAAATTAAAATAATAGCTTTTCATCTAGATTTGAATAATAAATTCAATAATAGGATAAATCTGCTTTATTCACTTTATTTGCTTTAGCAGTTATATTTAATTAAACCACATGTATATTCTTAACTTTGATAAAGTATATAAGCAAGGGTTTCTTGCGCTGAAAAAAAAACAATTCTTTGAGTTAAACACTTCAAAACTACAATAGTAAAAGTAGTTACTTTAGAAGTTTATTAGTTCCTAATAAGACTATCTGATTACAATAACCTTTGTTCTAGTATTGTTTTTGATTTGATTATAAACCCAATATAGAGTTTTGACCTTTGAAATTTGAGTAAAAAGCATTAATTCTAAAGTTTTCTTGATATTAAAATAAAACTTGATTCATAAATCATTGTTGAAACCTTCCTATTTTATTCTAACCACACTTTCAATTTTACTCTAATAAAGAGAGAAAAAGTATCAATTAGTAATTTGAAACTCTTTATATAACCAAAACTATGTATTATACTATTGATCAATATTATTGTTATTTCTATTTAATAATTTATTGCTACAATAATCCTGTAACTCACGTGATAATTGTTAAGAAAGTTATCAAATTGAATCGAAAACTAAAGCCCTAGTATACTCTATATCAAAAGAAGAATTTAGCTTCTTACTAAAACTTAGAAACAATAGATAAAAGGATAATTCAAAATTATACTTAATTTCAAATAACATCACAATAAGACTTGAAAAGACTTTAAAACTCAGACCAAATCTCTTTATGCCTCTTTCTGTTTGCCAATTCAAAGTCTTAAAGGTCTTTGGATTATAGTTTAGCTGTGTTAGATTTAGTTAGTTTTAGTTTTAAATATTTAAAACACACCTTTTTAGCTCACCGATGACTTACATGCTATTTTGTGGCTATAGTATGTGATTATTTTCATTGGAATTAGCATAATTTTTACTATAACTATAAAGAATTTTGTTACTGAACTTACTCTCAGTTCCAGTGATCAAAGTATGCATTTGAAGTTGTTAACTTATACCAAATTATTGTAATTTCTAAAAGATTCTGATATAGAACTTATTTGCTATTCTCATAAACACAGTACAAGATCAATGTTGAGTTAGTTTCATTAGAATTAATAAATATTAGTTATTGTAAAAAGCTTATTACAGACTTACTTTTTATTCAGTAATATATAGTGTTAGCTAGAATTGGTTTATTATTGTATATTGATTTTTAAAAAATAAGTAGAAATATATTTAATATTCACCATTACATATTTTCAATAGTCTTTTTCTTAGACAAGACAATTGTTTCTTTACTACAAACTTAGCCCGACTTAATATTAGGGTTGGCTTGATTTTGAGTTTGTGTTAATTAGAATTATATGTTAGGTAAATAATTGTCAGAGTAATATATTATCTAAGAAAAGGATTGTATTAAAAAATGAAATACATTTCTTATCAAAAAAGTGGATATTATGGTGTCAGTTGGTGGGAAATAACATTTAGAGAATTGTACTATAGTTACAAACAGCGTTATGGTTCTACTAGAAAGATTTTATAGAACTTGCTCGTTATCCTGATAATCAAAATTTGTGGCTAAAATTGAGTTTGTTTGTATCAAATTTATCATGATATCTATGATTAAGGGTGAGTTTGTTGCATTAAAATTATGAGTGTAAAAACTCTGTTACAGAACTCACCAGCTATTTCGATGACCATACAATATATAGTTAAAATTGAGCTAGTTTGATTGGAATTATAACGATATCTATGTAGCTAATGCTGTATTGAAGTTATTGTTGTTACTATAAAAAAAAACTCGGATCTTACTCGCTATTTCATAATTTTAGTAAACAGTTGAGTTTGTTTTTGTAACATGATCTATTATCAAAAGTCAGACAAACTTATTTACTATTCCAATGATACTTAATATGTAGTTAAGGCCGTATTGGTGAATGTCGATTTTTACTGTATTATCATGCATGTGACTGTAAATGACATAGTTGAGATGTAATTCTGGTAGCTCACAATGCCTTAATTCATAGATCGATTACAAATATATGATGACATTAATTCATAGGTCGATTATGTTACAGATGACTTACATAATTAATTATTATTTTCACATAGTCATATGTACGCAATTACATAATTGCATAGTTATGTAATATCTAAATGTATTAACACTTTCTAAAAACGGGGGATGGCTGAAGCCATGTACCCACGTAATTTTTCGAAGTTTTGATTAAAATTAGAAATAGAAATAGTTTAGCGTTATGGTGGGGTTAGAGGCAGAGTTGTTTATAGGTAAAATCGTCTTCCCGACATTTTTGTTAATGCTTCAAGACAGGTTTAGACTAGATTTTCATATTTTTTTATTTTCTTTATTTTTTAACTTCTTCGGCTGATCCGTGTAAACAAACTTTCGCAATCCCGGTTGGTTGATTTACACAAAAAGTCACGTGGGTACATGGCTTTAGACGACCCCTAAAAAATCATTATTATTACCAAAAAGGTTTTTTTTAAAATCAGCATAGGGTATATCAAAAAAGTTGAACAGAACCATCACTCTCACATTTCATGTGATCGTACTGGTATAAATGAAAAAAGTAATAACATGCTAAATAGATAAAACTATAAATAAAATTAAGTATAAAAATAACCTACTATACGAAAATCTTCCTATGAATTACTTGCCTATTAAAAATAAAACTAAAATACGATTACCAAAAAAATTTACAATACTATCGCTATATACTAAAAGCAAACTAACAACCATTTCCAAAAACGATAAACTCCAATAAAAAGTAAAAATATACTTAAATACCGATAATATATTTTAACTAAATAACAAATATCAACAAAAATTTACAAATATAATTATGTAATATCATATGATAATTTGAGATAACATACTGGATCTCAAAATTATCATGCTATATTGGTATTATAGTTCGGCAGTCATTGATCATAAATTATACTATTTATGTTTTTTTTAAAACATCATTAATTCGTATGGTGCAATGTATGCATCATGCAAAATAACAAGCATGAACGACGAAATAAAAAGAAAGTGATTTATAATATAAGTTAATTGGTGTAATACTCATGATCAATAGTAGCCGTGCTATAATCCATAATAGAGACTATTAATAAAATGATATACTCATTAAAAATAAATTAATATAACAAATAATATACAAAAACCGTCTATTTACCGAAACCTAAAAAATATAACAAATACGCAACAAACACAATTCGCAAATAAAATTTAACAAAAAATTAACTAAAAAATATCAATTCGTAAATTAAATTTAGCATAAACTAACTAAAAAAATACAAAAATAATTTATTAACAAGTGAGTATTCAAATCTAGCAGTCATACAATATCGCAAAAATATTTAAATTAATAATCACTCAAATAAAAATTTTCAACGTATACAACTACCAAACCAAAAAAAAACACAATTAATAAGAAATAATCTTAACTACCTAACACACGAATAAACCATTAAAATAAACTTTAAAGTTAACCTGCACGTCTGATTTGAATAATAAATGTCGTAAGAAATTTGTGTGCTATGCTATAAGTAAAATGTGTGTATGTATAGATGGGGTGAAATTACCCTTCTTAATAAAAAGTTTTTGTTGAAATTGTTGAAATTATTAAATGGTGAAAATGGTGAAATTGGTTTTTTAATACTAAAAATTGATTTAAATTATATCAAAAATTAATTAAAACTAAGTTAAATTAAATAAAATAGTTATTTGGCATTTAATTTATAAAAATATTAAAAATGTTGAAATTATTGTTGAAATTATTGTTGAAATTAAAAAAATCGAAAATTAATTTCACCCCATCTATAGTCGTATGAAAATGTCGTAATTAAGGATTTATAAGCTTTCAATCTGAATCAATGAAGCCTCTATCTTTTGGTTTCGCTATTGCCCGCGCTGTATTATTAAGCTGCCCATCCCCTCCAACCCAGTTGGAACAATTCGAACTAATACCTTAAAATGTAGTTGTGAAGTCAAGACATTTGTGCGTGAAGTATAAAGTGATCGTGGCTGTAATAACGCAAAGACCACTTGACCAATGATATGGACAATGATAATAATGTTTAACGACATTAATACATAAGAAATATCGTGGCTCTAAAATTAAAGTAGCGCAAAGACCACTTGATTTATATTTATTTACCTAAGAAAGGACTAAATAACATAGACATAATAAAGTGTATTATATATTATCATTATTTAATAGAAAAGTAGATTGGTGCTTGTAAAAAAAATCAAAAAAAAACCGTTTTCCGAACAATCATCAGGAAGATCATCCTAGTATGTACTCATTTTCCAGGCACGGCTTCCTTTTGAAAAATATATTAATTTCTTTCACTTCTTAAGCTTCCAAATAAAAAATAATTGATTCTTATATGATTTTTTAAATTCTGAAATTTATAGAGATCAATACTGCATATAGCTATCATTATAACGATTTACCCATATAACCTTTCTGACAAATTATAAAACTCGGGGTTCGCGAAAAGTGCTTTCCTTATAAATTTATTATAAATTTATTATAAAAATAATTATTAATTCAAAGAAGAACTTACATAATCAGCAACGTATAATACAAATAGTTTCTATATTAATAAGCAATTGACACAAGTATTGAATTTATAAAGTTAAAAAACCGAAGTCTGGTTTTCTTCTCATATATAAATAGAGAAAATTTTCACTTGCTCAATTAATTTTGACATTAATTTTTTTCTCACTTTTAACTTTTGAACATCCAATATAACAATATGGTTAAAGTCTCTAAAATTCTTGTTTGTTTGGTTCTTATAATCCATGTTCATTTTACGACTACTTTACCTACTCATTTATTGGAAGAACGTAACTTGACTACCTTATTAGCCAATATATCAAGGCATAAACTGGAAAAAAGAATTCGGTTTACCCCAGGAAGAACATTTAAGCGTCCAGATAATCTTATTCGTCCCCCTAACGTATTTTATATAGAAAGTCCTTTTCAAACTCCTTGTACATTGCTTCCAACTTTAATTTCATTTTGTATTTGTTGTTCATTATTTGATCGGGATGTTGTGATTGATGATCCACCTGAAGTACATATTTCTGAGCATTCGAGTTCACTTTTGGAACGAATTGGTAACTTTATTACGTATGTGTGGGCACTGAATTGGGCAAGGTTTGATCCGGTTATTCCTCCAGGTGGGTACATAAAATTATTATAAAATTATAATATATAAAAACTACCTATTTTGTGTTAATTTAAACTCTAATCTTCACCATAATCCTAATTATTTATAAAGTTGCTTAAATTAGCTAATTTTTATATATTCCAATTTTTATAATAATTCCATATGCTTTAGATTCTCTAGAGACTTATAGGGATCCTGTGCAATTAGCAAAGGGTCTACCTGAAACCTTTTTAATACATAGAGACGATGAACGCATTCGTGGCCGTTCCATTGGAGAATTTATTGGAGTTCTAGATAAACAAAATAACCAACATAAACGAGACATTGTAAAACGAGCTGGTGATGGAAAAAAAAAAGATAAAAATTTTAAAAAATATTTAAAAAAGTATATTCTTGGCGCTTCGAACATGGAGAAAGTAGTCAAAGTCAACATGGAGAAAGTAGTCAAAGTCAACATGGAGAAAGTAGTCAAAATCAACATGGAGAAAGTAGTCAAAGTCAACCAGTTTCTGTACCTCCTTGTCCAAGATCAAATCCATCTCTAGAAAGAATTCCAGAGAAACAACCTATTTGTATACCTAATACTGAAAGTATAGTGAGAAAACCTAGTACTATCAAGCCTTATTTGATATACTATCCTCCCCCCGAGAAGCCTATTCTTCTACCTGACCCTCATGATCCTCGGCGATTAGATAATATTGCCATAGAAGGAGAATATTTTTCAAACTTTATAGAACTCTTTACAGAAAAAGATTTTTTAGATAAAACGACCAGAAAGTATTTGTTTTTAATGTATCATGACTTGAAATCTACTCTTAAAGTGGATTGGGATGTATCAGAGTATATTGAACATCTTTATTTATATGCAGAAAGTCTTGGGCAAACCATTTTAGAAATACTTTTTACATTATCAGCAGAGCAACTAAGAAAGTTTGTATATTGTGATAAAAAAGGCAAAAAACATGATGAATTGAGATAGAATAAAAACTATATTATATAGTGCTTAATTTTAGTAGTATATTATATTTATTATATTTATATATAAATTATTGGTTTAGTAGTATATTATATTTATTATATTTATATATAAATTATTGGTTTCGTAGTATATTATATTTATTATATTTATATATAAATTATTGGTTTAGTAGTATATTATAATTATTATATTTATATATAAATTATTGGTTTGCAGTTTATAAGTTTTTATATTTTTTATTATAGCTCAATATTTATTATGATATATCAAAAAAGAAAATTCATTTTTTTTATAACTATTATATGACTTTTTATATTTACTTTACATATATTTTACTATTTTTAAAGTTAAGCTACTAAATTTTTTAAACAACTATTTAATTTAATAAAAATATATTAACTTTATATTAATAAAAATATATATTTTTAGTTAATAGTTTAGTTATACAGGGTGTTTTAAAAATTCCAAAACATGGTCTTTTTTTTAAGTTCCTTATACAATAATTGTTTAAATTAACTCTATATATAATATTATTTTTAAAAATGGTCTGTATTTTGGAACTTTTGAAACATCCGGTATAGTAATTTTTACTAATTTTAATTTATTTTTTTTTTACTAATTTTGCTTGTTAAAATTATTTATATTGGAAATTTACAAAAAAATTGTTAACTAAAAATAGATTTTATTTATATTATAAGTTAGGTTGTTTTTTAAATTGAAACTTGACTTGTATCAAAATATCCTCTAGCGGAATTTTAGGATTAGTGCGGCCAGTATTATGTCAATACTAGCTGAGGTTTTTAATTTATTAATTTAACTTAGTTAATATAATTTAAAGCTTGCTGTTGTGAATTCTATAAATACAAAAAAAAACTTAAAAATTATGTTTTGTAGACCTTGACAAGCATTAAATAAATATTTAGTAATTGATAATATTTGTAGAATAATTATATTAAAAAGGTGATTTTGTTAGAAAAATAAATTTGTTAAAAAAGTAATTAACACAGTAATTAAGCTCGATTATAAATGCGAGCTTCGGTAAATTTATTGTTATAATCCATTTGAAGCAAAAATTACTAAAAAAGTTGATTTTTTGTTTCACAAAATTGATCGCATTTTATAATTTACTCTATATGCTCATGCTCTTGCTACATGCTCTTGCTCTTGCTTGAGCAGTGCAGCACATAGAGTATAGTAAAAATAAGTAAAGATACGCAAATTTCTCTTATTTGTGTAAAATTAATGGTTTATCATAAATATATTATAAATGCTTTTATTATTTTTCCTATTTCTTCAATTTTACCTTCAGATTTTTTGCCGTTAATAATCACTGATCGGCAAAGGCAAGAGTGAAAGATCACAGTGAAGAATTTGATGATCATTTCTAAATATATATTTACCCCGCCATGGGATTTTTACAGGGGTCCCCAAAATTCATGGTCGAAATGCATCGATCCTTTAAAATTTAAAGGATTTTTAGAAAATTTAAGCAAATATTTCTCGATGAACAATTAACTAATTCTAGCAAACCTTTTTTTATTTTAATTCCACGAATATGTATAATTAAACCAAAAAATTTTATCGATTTTGGTTGGATGGTCATAGAGAAAACTTTGCTTAAAGTTTTAAAAAAAGGTTGAAAATCTTAGAAAAAAAGCAAAAACCGTAGTAAAAACATATTTTTTTAACTTTAAGCGATGATTTCTCAACAGCTATCTAACCAAATTTGATGAATTTTTTTCTATTTTAATTCTACAAACACGTAGAATTAAAATAAAAAATTTTTTATTGAAATTAATCAGATAGTCACTAAGAAATATTCATTTAAATTTTTAAAAAAAATTTATCGCAGCTTTTTTTTGTAGGTATTAAATCTTCAGTCGAAGTTTTCTCAATGATTATCTAATCAAATTCGATGAAAATTTTTTTATTTTAATTCTATAGATAGAATAGAATTAAAATAAAACAATTTAATTAGATAATCATTGATAAAACTTCATGTAAAGTTTTAGTACCTACAAAAAAGAAGCTGCGATAAATTTTTTTCAAAACTTCAAAAAAATATTTCTTAGTAATTACCTATTCAAATTCAAAAAAATATTTTTATTTCAATTCTATATATGTGTAGAATTAAAATAAAAAAATTTCATCGAATTTGGTCAGGTTATTGTTGAGAAAGTTTAGTTTTAAGCTAAAAAAAAATTTAAATCTAAGAAAAAAGATAATAATAAATTTGGTTTTAAATTTTAAATGAAGATTTCTGATGATAACCTGGCCAAATTCGATGAAATTTTTTTATTTTAATCCACATATATATATAATTGAAATAAAAAAAAAATTATTGAATTTGAATAGGTAATCACTAAGAAATATTTTTTTAAAGTTTTAAAAAAATTTACTGCAGCTTCTTTTGGTAGGTACTAAAACTTTATGTGAGCTTTCTCAATGATTATCTAAACAAATTCGATGGAATTTTTTTTATTTTTATCTATAGAATTAAAATAAAAAATTTTTCATCGAATTTGATTAGATAATTATTGAGAAAACTTTGATTGAATATTTAGTACCTACAAAAAAGAAGCTGTGGTAAATTTTTTTAAAAATTTAAATGAATATTTCTTAGTGACTACCTGATTAAATTTAATAAAAAAAATTTATTTTAATTCTATGTGTTTGTAGAATTAAAATAAAAAAAATTCATCTGTTGATTAAAGTTAAAAAAAGATGTTTTTACTATGGTTTTTTGCTTTTTTCCAAGATTTTCAACCTTTTTTTAAAACTTTAAGCAATGTTTTCTCCATGACTATCTAACCAAATTCGATAAAAATTTTTTTATTTTAACTATACATATTCGTGGAATTAAATTAAAAAAAGTTTTCTGGAATTAGTTAAACATTCATTGAGAAATATTTGCTTGAAGTTTCTAAAAATCCTTTAAATTTTAAAAGAATCTTCCTGGCCGACTATATTGACAACCTAAAATGGCAAGTTGGTCACTAAACAAATCAAGGCCTTGTGTAATCTATGCTTGGCTTAATTGAAGAGGAGTTTAGATTTGGCGAGTGGGTGATTTTAGATGTAGGTATTCTTCTTGTATTGGACCTTGTTAGTATGCACTAACGTTTATATTTTCTATACATACTAATTCCAATCAAAACTACGGCTGAGATCTTCCACTTGACCTCAAACTGGAACAACACAACCACAGATTTCACAATTCATTGGGAAACTGGAACATGATCACAACTAGTCCTCGGTACATTGGGATAGTTAGAAAACCATGGCTTGGTCCTCATTCCATCGAGAATCAACCAGAAAGCAACGTTTACGAAGTCATGTGAGCAAGACAATCAATGAATGAAGATCTTTCACTATACCACTTAGTGATCGTTCAGGGTAAGATTATTTAGTATAGCGGGCTATTATTTGGGAACTTATGTTTATTGAGGTACTTGGGTTTTTATGGGTCAATTGGGTCAATTGGGTAGTTTTTATTAGAGAACGATGATTATAAGCAAACAGAACTTATTGTTCTCAGAGCCTTCACGGCCTTTATTTATAATGATAGCTTCAGTATTACAATCAATGGCATAAATTCCATAAATTCTATAAAAGCAATATAATTAATATAAGCAATAAATGCAATAAATGTAATAAAAGCAATATAAGCGATAAAAGCAATAAATACGATAAAAGCAATAAATGTAATAAATTCTATAAATTGCATTTAACCCTGTGATTCTAAATCATGCTTAAGCCATAGCAATCAGATCAGTTTCCGGGGCTCACAATATTTCGACGTATTTTGACCTAATTCAGACCAGGAATTTTGAGGATCCCCTGTATGAGTTCTACCATGGGTATCCTTATGTTAAGCAAATTTCTAAAAATTTTAGATTGTAGTATATCAAAAATTTCCCATATATTTAGTATATAAAAATGCTTTCTATGACTAAAATTTAGTGCTGAAAACTTTTTTTAAAGTCAGGAATTAGTTGGCATAGTAAAATTTCATGTTATTTACAATTTCTTGCATTTTATTACATTTTTTGTGCTTGTTTTGTTAAACAAGATCCTGTAATTTTATTGGATCTGATCTATGTAATTTATGGGTTTTCTTATGTCAAGAAAATCTCAGGCTGAAGATTACTGTAGATCATTTCCAATCTAATTTCGAAGCCAAAACATTTAATTTCTTTGAACTTCTAATGATGATTTCTCAGTAACTACTTGTTCAAATTTGATAAAATTTTTTATTTTGATTCCATATATTTGTAAAATTAAAACAAAAAAAAGTTCATTAAATTTTGTCAAGTAGTTGTCGAGAAATATTCGCTAGAGGTTTTGAAAAAGCTTGAAATATCTTGGAAAAAAAATCTAAAATCAGCAAATTTTTTCTTTTTGAAATTTTAAACGATGATTTCTCAACACCCAGATATCCAAATTCAATGAAATTTTTTTATTTTGATTATACAAGTATCTAGGATTAAAATAAAAAATTTGAATAGACAGATGTTGAGAAGTATTGTCGTGGTCGACATTGGTGCCCCAGATATTCGTAGCGCAAGGGTCAGGGATCATGATTAGGGTTGCATCGGTCCCACAAAGGACCGGTCCTGGACTGGTCCCAGACCAGGACTGATGGGATCGTTAAGCCGGTCCTTGTGATATTCATATCGATATCACCCAATTATATGAATTAACCGAAGGTCAACCATTCGAAAAATTAGTAAAGTGCCTCGGGATCAGCACCGATCACCCGAGCCGAAATCGAACCACCCAGGGGGTCACACAAGAGAACAGTAACTGATCAAAAAAAAAAAAAATTCATGCAATTTCACCAGCCAACAAGATAATATGACACGACACTTGATCGACACGCCACCCTATGGCATATATACCTGCCACTGCCCAAATTTCTCTCTCTTTCACAAGCAAAACAAACATCATCAAAAGTTTTCACATATACACATAAGAACAAAATTAACAAAACTAATAAAAGTTTAGACAACAAACAAGTGAAAAAATAATAATAATAATAAAAATAATAACAAAAAAAAAAAAAAAATTTCACCATGATACAAGAAAAAGGAAAAGCATGAGCTAGTACAGGCAAAGAAACTGCCATATCCATATCCAACTCAACCAATGATCAAGCAATAAGCCAAGCAGCATTAGAAATCGATTTTTCCAAAGTAGATGCGCATACATCAATTTTGCATGTCAAGTATCAACCAACATGATCATCAACTCCATCAAGTCCTACATTAATCAAAACACAAATACACAGTCAATTATGATCAACAAGAAGACAAACAGCAACAAACTCACAACTATCAACCAAGAGAAAAAATAGCCTCACTAACAGTTGTACACAACCATGATTATAGCCCAGCTACCACTTCAGGCAACGACTCTGCCAGCATCGAAAATAGCCAGAATTAACAAGGTAATAATTGCCCACTAACACCAATTTTAAATAATCTGATTATTAGCATTACCTTCAAGCACCAAAATGAAAGAAGCACTACTTCCTTAAATGAACCACAAAGAATACACCAAAATAATACTATACAAATAAAAGAAATATTATAGAAATACCCATTTCTTGACTATAGCAATATCAATAACCTTCCCCAAGTCAATAATTTTAAAAATTCACATGCAGTAATCATTGAACAAACATGTTTATAGTGGGTTTTAAACTGGAGTGAAGGCCAAAAAATAATAGAAATGCTATCTAATAAACCAAATTTGCTCTCTTGCTTGTGGAAAGCTATCACTTTCAGATTATATGAGAGCTTTGCAGTAGAAAGGGCCCAAACTAACATTTTTTTCAAAAGAACTTTTTTTATATAAATCAATTTAAAATAAGGCTAGAATCATTTTTTGCTTAAGGCACAAAAGTAATTGTATTAATAAAATTTTGCAATATAGCTCTTTAAAGTTTATTTTTTCTTATGATTTATTATAAGATTTATAACATAAAAATCGATTTTCTGAAGATCTTTTTTTTTGTGAGTTTGGGCCCTTTCTACTGCAAAGGCCTCATATATTAATCTGTACAAATTCAGGTACAAAAACTTAAAAACAACTTTGAAGAATAACACTGACAAATAAACTCTACAAATTGCCAAAGGTGGAACTACTGCCATCCAGAAATGCAACCATTGCCAAAAATTCACAAATATAGCAGACTGGTTACTCACATTTAAATTATATATGAACATGTTCTAATAATTTACAATGCAAGAGAGCTGGAATTAAATATTTACTGCAATCACATTAATGAATTATATGTAAAATACAACTTCCCAGCTATGATAGCATATGACGAGAACTACAGACTTCACCTAATGATCAATCAAGATATAACATTAATAGATCGAAATATAGAAGCCAAGGGTAAGAACCTTGACATATCTACTATTAAGAAACATTATACCAACAACCAATGCACTCTAAAAAATGACATCACATAGTATAACAAAAGGCAAATATGCCTCAACTAGAACAAAAAAGAGTGTCCTAAAGAAGCAAACTGCCAACACGTTTACACATACTTGATATATAGAAAGATGGGCCATCTCGAATAAAAATATTATCTCAACAGAACATCATCCAACAGACCTGAGAGTTAGAATTCTAACAAATAAAATCAGATATATAAATACATATTGATAAAAAAAAAAAAAAAAAAACCCCCCCCCAAAAAATGATAACAAAAAAAAAAGCCGCAAGATTAATAATAGCTTTCAAAAAAAAATATACTTATATACATATACATATACATATAAATAAATTAAGGGTATGGTGACTTAGTGAAGTGGTAGAGTTGTCGCACCTCCAAGCTAGCTTGACTATGGTACTGAGTTCGAATCCCACTGGCGACGTTTCGAATAAAAATACCTGTATTATGGTAACAGATCTTCATTAAGTTGGGGCTTAGTTAGAACTATAACTTGTTATAGTAATCTGTAACCTCAGATCACACCAGTGCGTCGAGGCACTTTGTGTCCTGCATTGGAAGCGCTGGGATATTTGTGTAATGTCTGGGTTATATGAAGGAATACAAACTAGTATGGGCAGTGCAAACACATAATAAGCCCCTGGTGTGATGGTAATACTTAAGAACAAGAAAATCTGGAACTGGCTTGGCAAGTCCTGAATAGGAAGTAGTAAAGATCTTCGACAGTACTACAGAAAGACCAAATTTGGAAGCAAGTGCCAAGATTAGTGAACTTGAGCAACAAAGATCTTTTAGTGGGGGATCTACCAAACGGTTTAACTTGGCAACCACCAACAGGGTTACTGGTCTGGGAAACCGGTGGGTTGGGGGCCCTACTCTTCCCAGCCCTGGATTGGGAGTTAGAAAGTTGGGAGCCATGCCCTTTAGGAAGATGTAGGCTGAGAATAGCAAGACAGTACTAGCCGGGGAAAAAAGACATATGCTATAGAAGTATGTACCAAGGAAGACTGACTGAAGGCACTTAAAGCCGGGTTAATGTCGACCCTTCCGAAAGAACAGCTTGGTAGCAATATAGAAGGGACCGGTAAGGATTGTGGAAGGATGAAAGCTGGAATATAGTACTGGGGTCAAAATATCGAACCTACAAGGGCGTTAGTAAGTAACAAACAGGAGTTCAATAGTTAGCCCTGACCCCAAGTGTATGGGTTAAGCCATTGTGTCGGTTACTAAAAGTCTGGGTGAATATATATGTGGGATATATACTGCTCCAGCGGGTTTAGTACAGGGTCAAATGCCTTCCTGGTGCTAGAGAAGGTACTGGGTGTTAGGGGCTAAAGCCTCAGAGCCAAGATTGAAAAGATTAATTAGTGACAATATGTAACATGATAAGTGTAACATATGTTGAATATTAATAAAGCAATTTGGGTCTAAGTACTCACCTTAATATTTAAAAAAAAAAACAAAAAAAAAAAAACATATAAATAAATTGTAAAAAAAAAAAAGAAAAAAAACAATAGAGGAAAGGAAATGAAGTAAGGGGATAACAAGGCCAATATAGAACAATGCAACAATATTATCGATCAACTATACAAGGCACAGCCTACCTACCAGAAGTAAAATAACAATAACATAGACATACAAATATATATATACATGCAGAATAAGAAATATACAACAATAACAGAGGCATTATATAGCTCAATTACAAAAAATAATAATAATAATAATAATAAATAAATATATATGTATATATGTAGGTTAATTCATAAGTCTTGTCGCATTACATAGATATTTTAATTATTTGTAAATTTATAAATTTAAAAATTATATATATAAATTATATAATAGTTATAATATATTTAAAAAAAATTTAAATAAATTTTAATCAATTAGATTTTAATTAAATATATATATATATATTTTTAATAAACTCTTTCTGATGATTATTTGGACCACAATTTCTAAAAAATTTTTTACTAGGAAAAATACAGTATACTAGAGTAAAGTCAATAACTCTTATATAAGATATAGGAAAAGGGACTGTAAGTTAGCAGCTGTTATTTAGAAGTAGTTCTCATATGCTACCTGCTAACAGCCTCAGAGTTTATCACTCACTGACTGCAGACATGGCACTTGTCATTTAGAAGTAGTTCTTATACACTACTTGCCAACAAGTTCAGAGTTTATCACTCACCAAAAAGACTTAATACTGTGCAGGCTCTAGTGGATAGTTAATTCTAGTAAAAGAAAACCTATGCTCTTTTGGTGGTTTCAAGTATTTTTTTTCTCTCTTTCGTATTTTGCTTACCTTACCAAAAGTTTTGACAAAAAGTGGGCATTCCAGCTTATCCCCTCCAAAAGATCGGCATTGTTTACACTTACCTAATTCAGACAAACTCAGTAGAATGCAACTACATGTTTGTTTTGTTTATCATTACAGTGCTACACTATAGGGATGAAATCAATAACCCCCATTTAGGAGATACCTGATCCTGGTGACATGTTTAGAATGAATTCCAATGTTAAAGTGAAGCTTTATAGCCAAGATATATTAATTAGTTGCAATTAGTATATAATTTTTATCTTTATACCTGGCATAAGTTATAATAGTGTATTTTTCTTCTTTTTGTTTCTTTTGTTTGTTTTTTTTTAAGGTGGTTTATCAGGACTTCTATGTCTTTTTTCTGCTCTTTTCATCTTTATTCTATTATAATAGAACTATATTTAGGACCTCTTTTTTTTTGTTAAATGTTTTTTTTTTTGTTTTTGTTTTTGTTTTTCTAGATAGTTTTGTTTACTTTTATAGATGGAATATATTTTTTCTTCCCTTATGAAAAAGTAAGAGATAAACTATTTTTCTAGATCTAGATTAAAAAAGTTTAGAAGAAAGGATAGGTAGTCTTAACAAGCTGGTGAGAACCTTTCAGTAAAGATTTATTCTTTTCAAGTGCAGAAGAAAATATTTTGAAAAAGAATTCTGCCTATAGCAAGTTATACATAGGTAATTTGGACTCTGGTTACAAAGAGCTGAGGAAGCTAATACTTGTAATTTAGGTGGCATTAGGGTTTATACTTTGTGAAAATTTTAATATTTCACAGTATAATATTATAAAGCTTAATAAAGTAGAGACAAAACTGCCGAACTGAAAAAAAAAATAAAGTATGTGGTAAACATGTTTAAAAATAAGGGTAAGAGTAATCAATCGATTAGTGTCTTGTATACATGATTCATATGATCATTGATTAGGATTATGGATGGTTGGTATTATAGTTGGGATACTAAAGTAAGGTAATTAATATATCATGGATAAATCAATTATACATTAATAAGTGGTACAAAATAGTTTATTAGTAAGTTATGCATAAACAATCGAATAGAGTATGTAATCAATTAAAGAGACAATGATCATATAATCAATATATAATGTAATGATTAGAGTTAAATATGTATATAAGGATTAAAGTGATAGTAATAATAAAGAGAGTTTGAGTTAGTCTTAATTAGTAGTTGTCACCCTTTTAATTAATAAAGTGTATTTGAATAATAAGTAAAATACTTGTCTTAGTATAAACATTAAAATTGGAATAAGCCAAGTAATCAAGTGCTCCCCATCCGAGTTAGGTTATTCTGTGACGAAAGTCATAGATTAGCCTGTGATACTACTAAGCTAAAAGCAATTGAAAATATGCCAAATTAAGAACTAAAATAACTTATAAATATTAAAATTTTTTATATAATAAAAAAATTTATTTTACAAAAATAATAATATATAT